AGAAACCAGGCGTGGTGGCTCACGCCTGTCATCCCAGCCCTCCAGGAGGCTGAGACAAGAGGATTGTTATGAGTTCAAGGTCAACCTGAGCTACACAGGGAGTTCAAGTCCAGCCTGAACTACATAGCGAGATCCTATCTCGGAAAAGCAACCAACCAAACACACACACACACACACACACACACACACACACACACACACAAAGAAGCATGCAGAGAAGCATGCATCTGTGTGCAGCTTGACAAATGCTCACAAAAAGCGCACCCCCACAAATAAACACAGGACCAGCAGCAGCACACATCAGCTGACCTCGACAGAGCTGGCCTGCGCTGCCTCTGTCCCTGTGTCCATCCCTGGCCACTGAGACCATTCGCCTCCAAGAACTGCTGAGTAGCTGCCCAGGTAATTCACATGGCTCACTGGGTCTGGAGCCGCTCCTGGAAATCTCGGAATCTCTTTGGAGTGGAGCAAAACTTAAGGGTGCTTTGCTCCAGCTGCGTCTGCACAGCAGCTGCCTGGCCAGGTTACCAAGAGCAGCGGGCATTTCCTGTCTCTGGGGTCTGCAGAGCCTGGGCTCAGGAAGTCCAATCCGCTGGGCCCAGCCTGGGCATGTGGCTCTCACACGCTGCTGGCAGGAGCTGCATGGCAAGGTATTTTTGGAAGGTGCAGGAATTCTGTAGCCATTCGGAAAATGCCTGCTCACAGCCTGGGCCGGATTTTCATTTGAAAATGATGATGTGGCCGAGGGGCCTGACCTGGCCACTTTTCCGGGAGCTAGGGGTGGAGAAAGTAAGAGACATGTTCAGTTTTTTCCTTTTTCTTTAAACTATATAACCATTTTCTTTTCTGACTGTCTCAAATCCCTCTACCCTACAAGCATCGAGAGAATTCGGAGGCAGGCGCCCCTGCACCTTACAGGCTCCTGGATGCTTGCTGCAGGTAAGTGTCTTATCTTGTCCCAGATTTGCCTGGGCTTTAGGGTCACTTTAAATTGAGTGAAAGCTTAACTCTGTTTCTCATCAAGAATCTGGGCTCAGGGCTGGGGATATAGCTCAGTGGCATAAGTGCCTGTCTTGCAAGCAGGCAGTCATAAGTTTGATCCCCAATACTGATAAAAATGAAAAAGACAAAAAAAAAAAAAAAAAAAAAAAAAAAAGAATCTGGGCTCTGTCGCCCTCATCCAGAGATTCTTTGTGTTTCCAGATAGGAACCCAACTGCAAGTGTCCTCCCTGTCTTGTCCCTGTGTCCCTGTGCCTTTGTGGCCTTCATGGACAACTGTAGCTTCTGCTATTCATCTCTGCATTCATCACTCATCCATCCACCCACTCACCCACCTATCCATGCATCCATCCATCCATCCATCCATCCATCATCTATCCATTGTCCACCCATTCATCCACCCACCCCTACTCATCCATCCATCCATCATCTACCCATCTGTTCATCTGTCCTCCACCCATCCATCTACCCAGCACCAGGCCAGGATGGGCAGTTGGACAGACACAACCAACTTCTCTCATCATTATTTCTGTTCTTTCCCTTGAAAGGGGGACGCCCCTGTCCCCCCAAGTTGCTGCTCCTTCTGAAGCATCTCTGCTCTTGTAGCTGCAAAGGTAACTGTCCTCTCTTATTCCCAGCCCTTCTTCCTCTGCCTTCTTATTTGCAGCTCCCTTGGGCTGGGGTAGGAAATTAAGGGGCCACACCTTGGGCTGGGGACATAGCTGAACATGCACAAGACCCTCGATTTGATCCCCAGCACCATTTTAAAAAATAGAACATAGCATGATGGTTTTCTTTAGTTTTCCATCTTTCTTTCTTTTTTTGTTTGAGACAGGGTCTCACTATGTAGTCTAGGCTGGTCCTGACCTCATGCGGCCCAGACTGGCCTTGATCTTGCAGCAATCCTTCTGCTTCAGCCTCCTCAGAGCTGGGATTACAGGTACCACCACACCAGGCTAGATTTTCCACTTCTAAACCCTGCTGTGTGCCCCCTCTTTTCACTGTGCCAGATGTTGCAATGAAATACCATGGTGAGAGGCGGGGGGGGGGGGGGCAGCCTCTGTCCTTCCCTTAAGCAATGCAATGACACTGTCCCCAACCTCAAGTGCTGGAGGGCTCCAGCTGTGTCGCAAGTGACTTTCCTTCCAGGGGGAGCTGGTGCTGCAGTGGGAGTCACACCTACCTGCACCAGGCTTCCTCCCAGGGTGAACCCCAGGTCAGAGGTCAGCAAGCACCTGGCTGCCTCTTCCTTTTCCTTGGGGACAGAGGGACCAGCTGGGTTTTTCATGCACCTTGAGTTTCAAGGTTAGGACACTGAATTTTCTAGGAAAGAATTCTTTCCTTTAAGAAACTTGTTATTCATTTTAATTAGATAATCCAAACACAGGGCCCCAAACTTCAAAATGTGCCAGAGAGGGTAGTGATGAACAGGTCTTTCTCCCACTGGTTTCCAAATCCTTCGGTCCCTCCTAGGGGTAACCGTCCTTACCTGCTTGCTGCACCTCTGTTCAGAGATAGCCTCTGAAAACAACCATCTGTGTTGTTTGTGTGTTTTTAAAGAATGTACATGGAAACGTGATGTCATGATATGCCTTGTAATCTCAGCACTCAGAAGCTAGGGCAGGAGGATCTCAGAGAATTCAAGGTCAGTCCAGGTGTGCATGGTGAGTTCAAGTCTGGATGATGTAGGGAAACCCTGTCTCAGAACGTGAAAAACAAACAAACAAATAGAATATCCCCAAGCCCCAAATCAAAACAGAGGGGTACCTTATATGCATCACTTGGGACTTCGTTCTGTTCACATAAGAGTATATTTTGGCCAGATGTGGTGGTGGCACCCAGACGCTGAGGTAGGAGGATTGCCATGAATTTGAGGCCAGGCTGGATTACATGGTGAATTCAAGTCAGCCTGGAATACATATCGAGATCCTGTCTCTAAAAAAAGAAAGTATATTTTGGAGACTTTTTTTATTAGCAGATACAGTAGTATACAGTTGGATGAAGGACAATAACAGCAATAACAACAAAACAAAAACCAAACATACGAGGTGTGATGAAAAATAATGGTGAATGCTTATATTTAAAAGACTATTACATTAAAAGACAATCTGATGAACCCCCCTCAAAATACTCCTGACAGGAGTGGTTGTGTCTCACTTATCCCCATCATTCAGAAACAGTTCTAAAATCCTTTTTTTTGGAGACGGCATCTCGCTATGTAGTGCAGGTTGACCTTGAACTCCTTTATGTAGCCCTGGTTGGCCTCAAGCTCATGAGAACTCTCCCACCTCAGCCTCCCAAGTGCTGGGGTTACAGTGCTGTCATGGCTACCTTGATGCCCTGAACTGATTTAGTGTTTCCCTTTCACGGTCATTTTGACTTTGGGAAATGCTAGAAGTCACATGATGTCAAGATCTGGTAAATAAAACGGATGAGGACACACTATCATGTTTTTATGAGTGTGCCTTTCTATTAGATGGTGCTGGGCAGCAGCTTTCACAATATTTTTGATCACACCTCAGAAAGACATTTAGGATAGAGGACTTCCAGAACTGCTTCAGAACGTGGTAAGAATGCTGGGATAAGTGTGTTTGAAGCGAGGGGGATTCACAGCACAGTCCTGCACTGGTATAAACAGCACTGTATATTTTGATCATCCCTTGAATGTCAAGACCTTTATCTTAGGGAAGCACTGGTTTGTTGTCTCATATGATTGTTCTTTAAAAATCACAGCTTTATTAAGATATAATTCATGTACCAAACAGTTCACCACTTCAAGTGTCAGTGGCTTTTAATATAGTCACAGAATTGTGCAATCCTCACTACAGTTACTTTTAGAACATACTCATCATCCCCAAAGAAACCCCAACTCAGTCTCAGTCACTTCTCATTTTCCCTCAAATCCCTCAGCCCAAGCCGTCTATCCTGTCTTTAGGACATTCTAGACATTACGTATAAATGAAATAATACAGTATTTGATCTTTGGTGACTATCTTTTACATACCATATTTTCAAGGTTCATTTTATTTTACAGTCTGTCAATTCTTCATTGCTTTTTTATGTCTGAATGCTATGCCATTGTAGGCATAGATCACATTTTGCTTGTCCACTAATCAGTTAATGAACATCCAGGTTACTTTTTCCTTTTAACTATTATGAAGAATTCACGTAGACTTTTTGCGTGAATTAACGCTGGTCTTTGTAAGGTACCTACTGGACGTCATTCCTGTAGGTAACAAAACTGGTTCCAAGATGATAGGGCAGGAATCTTGGGAGTGAGCTGTTAGATCCTGAGTCCGTGCTTTCTCCAGTGCATGTTAATAGAGCTGAAATAACCCCTCAGGCAGAACCTCGTGTGGACTTGGAAAAGTGAATGATTAATTTGCAGTTGTGCAACTTGAGTCCTTTCCTCTACCTCTTCTCTTTGGCCCTCTCCTTCATAGTTTTCACTTCTTTTCTGTCAGGTAGTCAGTTCCCCACCCACAACTGTCGGGACAGACTCCACTCTCGCTCATTTGCACGTCGGGGTGCAAGGGAATTGTGTGCAATTCAGTGCATATTTGAGAGCTATGACCCAAGCTTTGACAGCAACTGCCAGCAGAGGCAGGAGGTAGGACACGAAGCAAAACCCAAGCAAAGGAGGGGGTTTCGTCGAAAAGCTCTTTCTCTCGTTCTGCTTTAGGGGTTCATGGGTGAAGGCCTTTGTGGCAATCCACGCAGCGGAGGGGACGCTGCGGACCGCCTCCTTCTAGAGACGCGCCTCCATTAGCCCACGTGTACCGTTGCTCCAGCAACCGCGCAGGCAGGTGACGCCCGGGAGCGTTGGTGCATGCGCAGATGCAGGGCGGTGGCGAGGTGCTGGGTGCTGCGGGGCTGCGACGTCAGACCCCGCCCCTCGGCGCCTGCCCCGCTAGCACCACTCTAAACCTCGACCCCCTCGTGGAAGAGATGCCTGGAGCTCACCAATCAGGGAGGCCGACACATTGTCTGGCCGGGCTCGCGGCAGCCAATCGCGACCTGGGTGAGATTCAGTGGCCGCCGGGAGGCTGGCGGCCAGCGCTGAGGCGGGGACCGTGGGAGTCGCTGCTGAGGCGGCCACGCGAGCGGGTCGTGCTGTTGCGTCTCCGCGGGGCCGGGCCGAGGTGGCGGCGTCTGGCGCCTGGCAGTGAAGGAAGGAGCGCGGGAAGGTGCGATGGCCGCCACCTAGGGCGGTGGGAGAATCGGCTGCGACCAGGATGCCGGCGAGGGGGCGCGGCGGGTCCTCGCTCGTCCCAGGTAAGGGGACGCCGTGCTCGCTGCGCTCCGCTGAGTCCCCGCGCCGCTCCCGCGCGCCCTGTCCCTGTCTGCCCGATCCCTGCTCCCCACTCCTTCCCCGTCTCCCATGTCCCTGGTTGCCTCTCTGCCCTCTGCACTCACTTCCTTCCCCTCCAGCTGTCACTGTGTGTCCTCTCCCCAGCTCTGCAGTCTGGAGGTTTCTCTAAATTGAGGTCCCTGCCCTCAGGCATCTGATTTCTGCCTCCCTGTACACCTCAAGGGGTCCTGGGTCGCCTGCGTCGCGTCCCCGGCCGCCTCCACGCACTCTGCCCTTGCCCCTCCCCTCTTGCGTCCCACTCAGCGATCCTGGGGGACTTCTCCTCGGGATGAGACCCCTATCCGCAGGCATCCGTCTTCCTTCTCCCCGTACCCTGTCCTTAGGTTGTGTACTTGTCTCCTCTCCATTTCTGTCGCCTGACCCCTCGGGGATTCCTGGTCGCTCACTCCTTCCTGCCCAGACACCTTTTCCCCATTCTCCGTTTGCGTCGATCAACCACCGCAGCTAACTCCTCTTCCTTTACCCTTGAACTTTCAGATACTTTTCCACTCTGTGAAGGCCAGGGCTGTAGTTTCAGCATCACTGTTCATCCTTAAATCAGCTCCCCCACATAACACGGAAGTAGCCCTGGGGCTGGCGCACAGTAGGCCAGTGCGTAGTGGGTACTCACGTAGGTTAGTCTCTTCCTCTTTCCAGGTCTGTGATGCTGGTAAAATCCTGTACCCACGGGAGGAGTTTTGATCCTGTACCTGAAGAGTGATGCTCGGAGATGGCAGGACTAATTAGTGAAAAAAAGGGATTAAATTACCAGCTAGTGACTACATTTATTCAAGAGAAACTGAATTCTGCCTTTGTGTTCTGTAGTGTTTTATCTTGAAGGATGCTTGGACTGCTTTGTGATACAATCACACCCGGCCTCTCCCGTCTACAGTGTTTATCTTTCCCAGCCGATGTCTCCCAACTGAAATAGCATTGGATGCGAAGATGAGAGCTATGAGAAATTTTCAGCCTTTAAGAGCCAGAGGGAATCAAGTTTGGCTTTCTTAGAATCAGCACCCAAAAGAATCATGTTTGCTCATCAGGACTTTAAGTTTTGACAAGTTTTCTAGGAATTATCCACCATTCCCGACACTGTTCTAGCTGTCAGAGGATATGAAATCATTTTTTTAAGAACAGTACATCTGACCTTTAAAGATTAATTGTAAAAATGCTGTTCTGGGCCTTGTGCTATGCTTGCGTTGTTTGCTCTGAGGATCTCAAGGCTGAATCAGCTTCTTCAGTTCCTGGGCTCTCAGGGGAAACTGGACAAAATCCTGTAACTGGTCAAAATCCTGTAACTTAGTGTTCTGGGTGCTGTCCTGCACTTCACATCCACACTTCACCTGCACTGTTTGGAGATCTTATGACTTCCTCCTCCGACTCCTCCCTAGCACCAAATCCTGTATTGCTATTTACATGTCTTTACCATTCTTTGACTTTTCATCCTACTCTTCACTGCTTATTTTGCCTTGTGCTTCACAGAAGAAACTGTTGAGCATTGGCCCTGAACTGTTAAGGATCTGTCGTTTTCATCTGTGGCTGTACTTAGCTGATTTCGGATCTTTTTCTTTTTCTCTCGGAGGAAGAGGGTTTTCCTTTCTAAGGCTACACCTCTGATCTCTTCAGTGTTATCCTTTCTTTACCCTTTAGATGCATATAAGCTCTAGTTTCCACCATCCAAAACAAACCAAAACACCTTCCCTAGATAGTTCCCTCTTCTCAGAGAACATGGTGTTGTGTTCCATGGTCTCTGCTCTCTAATTTCCTTGTGTGCTTATATTTCTGTTCTTGGCTTCAAGTAGCATCTGTATATTTAAAGTTCTCAAAGAAGTATATTTAGTTTCCACTTTCTTAAGTTTTAGATTACAATTTTTGTGGGTCCCTGTGGGCATGGCCTGGAAGGTCTCTCTCCCTTCCCTGTGCTGTGTGTTACACATAGATACTTCGTACCTTAAGCATGGCTATCTTTTCCTTCCCCATTGACTCTCGCATTGCTCCCGCAAGCACAATATGAACATTCCTTTTTAGATGTTTGCTCTAGATAGTCCTCTAGAATCATCTTCATTTCTCCTGACGTGTTTGTCACAGATCATCACAGATCTTATGGTTGCTACCTTAGACCTTTTTCTGTCCTCATTGACTGTAGATTGGTCCAGGCCTTGGTTGTGTAATTTTCTGGAGAGCCAGCAGCTGCCTTTGGGCCTCAGTGCCTCTGGGTCTCACACTCTTCAAATGTAAATCCTGTCCTACCACTTGCATTCTTTAAAAATTCTCATTAGCTTTCAAACACAGCACAATAAACCAGCCCTTGCAGACCTCCTGTCACAGGGCTTCTCTTTCTGGGCACTCCTGAGCTGGTACAGAAAGCAGTTAAGGACACAGGCCATTTAACTCGCTGTGCTAATGACTGATGGAAATGACTACAGGGTCCTTCCTCTCTGAGCACCACCCTGGTCAGGGTTAGGCAGAATTTCTGTCCAAGGCCACAGACTGCTTTTTCAGGTTCTTCCCCAGTTCAGCTTAGGTGACTTTTCCTTGTGTTCCATAGCACCCTGTTGCCGTCTCCATTACTATTATAATGCTGTGTTCTCTTACTTTCCTCCTTGACTAGTTAGTGATTGTTATGCTTTATAGCTAAGATAGTATTTTTGAAATAAGGGCTGATCCTGCACCAGACCAGACAAATGAGAATCTCAGTACAGATTCCATTGTGCACACAAATCAGGGCTTTTGAAGGTAATTGCATCGTGGGGAGTTGTAGGTAACTTGCTGCCAGGAGGTAGGGTCTAGTCAGAACAGGTGGGTCACTGTGGGCATGGCCTGGACAGTCTCTCTCCCTTCCCTGCGCTTCCCTTGACTCTGCTTCCTCTCCCATGCCCCTCTGCCATGCCCTCAGACTGTGGCCTGACACCTCTACAAACTGCCAACCAAATAAACATCTTTCTCTTAAGCATGTCGGGTATTGTGTCCCATAATAGGAAAGTAACTAGGACAGTGGTAGTGATAAGTCCAAAGGTATTTTGGTATCCAAAGGTAATTTTGATCCTTTGCCTAAAAAAGCCTGGTATGGGAAATGGCAGGACAAATTGGTGAGCTCCAGCGGCTACGGCTACGTCATATTATAGAAAAATGCCAGGCACATTGTAGCCATTCAGCAAAAGTAATAATGTTTTCAGAAGAGTGGACTCTGACCAGGAGAAGTGAGGGAACACCAGTGTTTTGGGAAGAAGGCATCACATGTTCAGAGGTGCGTGGTAACCTGCTGCATTTGAGAAGCAGCTGGCTTTGGGAAGGCTGGAGAAAGGGCAAAATGAGAGGTGAATCTGGAAAGCAAGCCATAAATGACTTTTTGTGTCTGAGGGCCTAGTTTTATTCTGAAATGGTGAGGAAATTTGGGAAGATTTTAACCTGGGACAATCTGGCAAATTCTGCCTTGTTCACATCCCAGGAAATGTCTTACTTCACGGAATGCTTAAATCCATCTGGAAAGTATACATGCTTACTATTATCATTGCATGCAGTAAAGCTTTCCCACATCTACCCCCAATTTGTCTTCCTCTTGATGTCTGTTGTCAAAGTACCTGTGAGTGCCCGCAGTTCCAGCAGTTGGGAGGCTAAGCCAGGAGGGTCACTGCTGTATACTGAGTTCAAATCCAGCCTGAACTATATGGCAAGACCCTGTCTCAAAAAATAAAAACAAACAAACAGAACCCAAAGTACCAGTGATCATATTATTCACTTCATGTCTTCTCTTTTTAGCTCTAAGGCCAGGGCTTTGAAATCAAGATGGGTTTTGATCCCTGTCTGCACTGGTCACATGAATGAGTTATGAAGAGATGCATTTTGAGAAAGATTTTGATAAAGGCTCTTCTGGAGGCACTGTGGAGAGTAGGTTAGAGAAGGTCAAGGCTGGAGCTGCATGGAGGGCATTATAGAAACCCAGGTGAAAGATGAGCCAGTGAGGCCAGTGAGTGGAGCTGAGGCTTGATTTTTTTTTTTTTAAACGTTGAGGATGAAACTCAGGGCCTTGTGTATGCCAGACAAGCGCTCCACCACTGAGCCACATCCCCACTCCTAAAATGACTTGACAGCTGGCTTGGAGGTTCCATTCATCTGTTAAGGGAATACAGAAAAGGAACAGATATTGGAGGTGGTAGAGAAATTCAGTGGTACCGTCTTGATGTCCAAGAGATCGCTTAAGGATGGTTCTATTACCAGCGGCTGAGTTAGATAGAAATATTACAGGCAGTCAGACAGGGCTAGGCCCTTGAAGAAGGGTGCACAAGGCCAGATACCTTGCAGCTGTTGGGGAGACAGACACCTCTGTTGTGGGCCAGACCACAAGACAAAAGATAAAACAAATGCCCACATATTTCCTACGGATAAGCATCGGAGTTGATATTCTAAGTAGGTCTGTGTCACCCAGAGGAAGCCAGGAGTCACCATCCGACCCCTACAGGAAGAGTCACTGCTCGATACGCATTCCTCCTTGCTATGTGATTCACTTCCCCATTTGTCCCTGATTTAATCAATTTTACCTGAACAGTTAATCTTATCAGTTGGCCGTAGTTCTGTCCCACCTCATGTCTACCTTGCAAGTTCTCATTTTTCCCCTCTTTGACTCACCTCACTCTGTAGTTTTACTCTCAGAAGTCCCTAGCAAAGAGAGCCTTTGGCAACCCTTTTGGGACCCCCTTCTGTCTGTCTGTCTATCTTTCTCTCTCCCTCTCTTTGTCTGTCACTTGGACAGAACCTTCTTTCTCTCAAATATATTCTGCTCTTAACCTCCATTGTTCCTAAAATTCATTCTTCAATTTTAGAAAACATGAACTTGTACCACACCCCTAGTAGGTGGGGAGTTTCTCTCCCCTGTGTCTGTTTGGTCTTAGATGGAGAAGTAAATGGAAGGTCTGTGCCAGGATGGAAAAAGAAGGCATCAGAAGTAGGTGGGATGGCTTTGGCCAGTGGGCTTCAACACAAGCACTACATGAAAACCAGCTGGGGAGCTTCCGTGGGTAAAGATGGCAGAATTAAGCATCTGTAGGGATTCTCACATTTGGTCTGGTGCAGAGTCAGACTTTGTTATTTAAAAAATGCTTCCCATGGGTCTGTGATTTGCATCTAGGGCTGAGAAGGGAACCTAGAGCAGAAAGTAAGGGTTCTGAAACTCTGAAGAACAATAGCATTTAACTGATCATTTCAGAATCAGGATAAATATCACCTTTGTTGGCATGATTAACTTGCCCGGACACTTTGTACATAGAGTACATGTTTGGTATGATTGCTCAGGAGCCCATTTTTTTCATGACTAGGAAGGAGTTCCTTGAGGTCGGGGATTGTACTTCATTTGTCTGTTCATCACTACTTTGAACAGTATTTGCTGTGTTTTAGAAACTCAATGAAAGTAGGTTGAGTAAATCCGCTGGTAAATATTGTAAAACAGACCTTGAATTTATGGTTCTGCAAGCTGTCCAACTATTTCTTTTCTTGGTTGCTGAGCAGATCACTAGTCAAACTTGCATAGTCATTCTTCTTTTAATCACAGACACACAATCTTTATAATTTAAAGTGGATTGAGAGAACTTATTTGCTCTATAATGACTTGGGCTTAAGGTAGTTAAAGTATGATAGTTTCTACTTTGGGCTTCATCTTTAAGAGATGCTATTTAAAGTAAACTTAGTTTCAGATGGTTGAATCATGTTGATCTTGTATCTTTTAAAAAATAGCTGTTTTATGACTTTAGGCTCATAAAGTTTGACATTTTAATTAGAACAAAAAGTGTCAAATTGATAAAAAAAATTTGAACAGAGGCATAACACTTTCTTTTTAATTAAGAAAATTAAGGAAGTAGGAAATAGTCATTAAGTCCTGCATCTAGCTGAATCTCACTAGTGTTAGAGAGCAGGTGATAAGAGGAAAATCTATGATTTCCAAATAATTACTATCATGGGAAACATCTGTAATTACTCATATGTTGATATCAGTATATTTTGTATTTTCTCATGGTTTCTTTGTTTTCTTAAGATTTTGTCAACTCACCCTTTGTGTTTTTCTTTTTGTGACTGTGGCCATTGAATTCATGGTCTTCATACTGACCTACATCCTCTGTTTTTTATTTTATTTTTTTAAGACAGAGTCTCACTAGCTAGGTGCAGTGATGTATCCTTGTAGCACTGAGGCCATCCGCTGAGGCAGGAGGACTGCTGAGCGTTTGAAGCCAGCTTGGGCTACACAGTGAGATCCTGACTCAAAAAACAAATATAAACAAAAACAAAACAAACAAAAACAAAGACAGGGTCTCACCAAGTTGCCCGGGGTGGGCTTGAATTTGTGATCCTCCAGTCTCAGCCTCCCAAGTGCTAGGATCACAGGTGTGCACTGCTAGGCCTGACTAGCTCTTCCTCTATACAGAATTTGTGGTTGACAGTTCTTTATTATTATTTTTTTTTAGTTTTTTATTTTCGACATTGAAAATGGGCTACTTTCTTCACACTCCCATGATTTCAGATGAGAAATCCTATCATTGGTACTGTTTTTGTGATGTTCACTTTTGAAATGTACTGTTTGTATTCATACTGGTCCTTTTTTTCTCTAGGCTTTCTGTTTTGTTCTATTGATTCCTCTTAGTATCATGACTGTTAAAACATTTTTGTTAAAGCCTTATTATCTGAAAGACTCTTCTTGGAAAAATGATCACCCCCCCTACATTAATTTTGTAATCATTTTGTTGATTCAAGAAAATTCTTTTGGGATAATGATTTAAATTGCAAAAGTTTTTCATTGCTTCCAGATTTGTTTCTGTGTGCTGGTAGTTCCTCATTTCATTTTTGATGTTTGTTGAATATTTGCTTTGTTTCACATGATTTTATGGGTATTTCAAGGAGATTTAGGACACTGTTTTAGTCAGTGTTTGCAAGAGAAAAGATTTAATACAGGAGATAGAAACTCACGAGACTAGCTTATACTATTTGCCCACAGTCGGTGTCGAATGCAGAAGCGTGCAAAAGCTCTCCTGGGGAGCTAGAGAGTTGAAGAATCCAGCGGAGGGCCTGGACCCCACGGCACTGTGCTGTGCAAGTCCGCCTCAGGAGGCCGAGAAATCCATGATGGAAGGCTGAAGGTGCTGTGCTGCAAAGCCCGCATCCTGGCTGGAGCTCCTCCCAAGAGAACAGTAGCCACCCCTGGCCGAGACCCGAGCTCAGCTGGAGAGAACAGCCCAAAGGAAAATCAGCAGCAGAAGCCCTTCAGGGGAAATCAGCTTGAGCTCCTGCCCTCCTGTTCACCTTTAAACCATTGCGACAGCACGCCTCCTTCAGTGGATCTTCCACGCCTAGAACCACGCTGACTCAGTTCATCTGGGTGTCCCCACGCAAGCTGCCCATTGATTAATTAACCACAACAGATTCTCAGTCTCGCTAGTTGGAAATCCCCGTCTGTGAATCCCTCGCCTTAGGTTTGGCCTTGTTCACGTGTCCATGGCATGCCACAGCTTAATGGAGTTCCCTTTTGTGCCTTGACGGAGCCTACAGTGTAGAGGAGTCAGCTCACCTCAGTCCAGGCAGGAAGTGGACAAAGCAAATCCTTCTGTGAGGCTGCCTGCAGGTACAAGAAGAGGGAACGGGTGTTGGGGCCAGAGGCTGGGAAAGACCAACTGGGGAAACGTTTATGAGCCATATGTGCGAAAGAGAAAAGGAACAGGAGGACCCAGAGGCAGGCAGAGGCCAGGTTTAATGTAGATGGGGTGTGGCCTCGCAGGGGCTGGCAGGTGGGCGTGGCCTTTAGGGCCAATGCTGGGAAGTCCAGTCTGGGGTCAGGAGCCAGTGTATGAAGGATGCGTGCAATCTGTTCTTTCAAAGGCTGTCACATGTGACCCATTTGATTTGCCATGGCAACACTGAAAAGCAAGTTGCAGATGTCCATTTTCCTTTTGAAATCTCTGCATAGTGTTTCTCATTAGGTCTACTTTAATTACCTGTGAAAAAGTGTGTGGTTATCATTATACGTGTTTTATGCAGGAAAAAACTATTCCTCAGTGATTCATTTAAGGCCGAGTGATATAGAAAAACTTGATTCCAGACTGTGTAATCCAGACTGTGTTTTTTTTTTTTTTTTCTTTTCAGACTGTGTTTTTATTATCAAGTCCTCTGACTCGGTACGCCAGAGCAATCCTCCTTTCTCCTTTTCCTTTACTTGTTTTAATTCCAAAAATTGTGCGTTTGGTAGGGAAATGGCATAAATTTGAGTTACTGTATTGGAATATGTAATTCAAACGGATTTTCTTTGTGTCCCTTGTTGTGAGTCATTGAAACACACTGTAAATCAAACTTGAAGACTCTAGAAGAGGAATAGGTTAGCTGACAGTGATCTTATTTGTAGGTTAAACACCGCCCTTCCACCCTGCCCCCAAGTACTGGGGATTGAACCCAGTGCCTTCTCACTGAGCTATATCCCTGCTTCTTTTTAAAAATTATTTTAGAACAGGGTCTAAGTCACTAAGTTGGCCATGCTGGGCTTGACCTTGGCAGTCCCCTGCTTCAGCCTCCAGAATGCTGAGTTCATAGGCATTTACCATCATACCTAGCTAGAACTTGAGAACTTGAGAATTTAAACTTTTTGTTTTGTTTAATGTTTTTATCATGGAAAATTTCAAACATGATAGAAACAATGTCAAGCCCTTTAGTACCGTTACTTCAGCAATTAGCTCAGCCATTGCATTTCCTTTGTAACCTTCCCTACACAGCTACCTTCTGATATTACTTAAGCAAAACCCAGATATCCTTTCCTTTAACCTGAACTTTAAACAATGTTATGCTTGACCTTAACTTGAGCTCTTGTCTCTACTTGTGTCCTAAATATTAGGTCCAGCTCTTTGTTTTTGACCAGCTGCTTTCCCTGTGACCGTGACATTTATTGAAGTTTAGTATTCCAGTAGGAAGAGAAGGCCCAGTTGATGTTCAGAAACTGCAAGCTGTGTGCACTGTAGTCTTCTTGCCACTCGCTTCCTATTTTCTGTGGTCTAATGACTGCTTCCAGTGTGTAGCTAAGGAAATGGGCCCCAGGTTGGTGCCCTGGCATGAGCCGGTGTAAGGGTGAATCTCCAATAAAATCAGCCATTTGGGTCAGGTTTTAAGTTTCTTCTGAATAGCAAAGCCATTGGTCAAAATTAACCTCTAGACCAGTGACAGCGAATCTTTTAGAGCTTTCAACAGTACAGATAGCCAGCTATGGTGTGCCCTAGCTCACTACCATTGCTGTACTGGCAAGACTTACTGGCAAGCTCAAACATGTAATAGGGTTAGTTTCCTTTTTCTCACAAGCTAGAAGTAAATGGAGAGACCAGGTAGAGTGAAGTTACTGTGTGCCACATTGGTTAGCATCGTGGGTGGGCATGGGGTGGAAGTGATGGTGAACAAAGGAGAGAAATGTTTCAGGGAGAGTGTTAAATTTCCCCAGCCTCTCTTTGGACCTAGACCCTGGTAGTCTCTTGATCATAAATACAGGATATGGTGAGCGTGCATGTGTGAGCGTGAGCCTGGCCTGTGTGTGCAGTAAGAGTTAGGACACAGCCTCCATGCCGGTATTTGGTGAGTGATGCCAGTTTTGATGAACAATCTTATAAGGCTTGCAGATATCAGGACCTGAGAGTGTAGCTCAGTGGCAGAGGACTTTCTTGAGTTGGATCCTTATTATTGTAGGGGGGAAAGTCTGCAAGATCTAAGTACAGAAGTCCCATGTCAGCACTCTCCTCTACCTGCAGCTTATTTTTGGGAGTCTGTTTCATTTGGCCTGCTGGCAAAGAGCATCTATTAATGGTGATCACTCAGATGTTTATTACAGAGTTCCAATGATTTTTTCTTCCCTTGAAAATAAAAATGAGAGGCAACATTTATAGTGTTTCTCCCTCAGCCTCAGCTCTATAAATGTCCAAATAGAGAATATTGATGATGCTTGTCTGAAATACATTGACATGGTATTTAAGGAAGTGGAAAGAGGCCTCCGTATGTGTGTGTGTGTGTTTGTGTGGGTACGCATGCATGCACACGGTGGTTGACTATATAAGACTCATGGTTACACCAGGCGTAGTGGTGTGCATCTGTAATCCCAGCATTCGGGAGGCTGGCAGGAGGATTGACATGAGTTCGAGACAAGCCTGGTTTACACAGTGAGACCCTATCTCAAAACAAAACAAAAGCTCGTGTTCATATCAGCTTTTACTGTACTTTCTTCTTAAATCAAATGACTACTTATTCAAGAATTTGAGAAAAAGTTGTTATCAAACGTGTTAATCTTGATTGTTACCTTGACTGGATGAAGAAACATCTTGAAGAGTAGGAAGGCACACTTCTGGTTCTGTCTGGGGGCTCCTGAGGATCTGATCCCCATTCCTTTAGAGCTCACATCCTGCTGCTAGGTGCTTTTTATACTCATGAGTCTGCAAAGGGTGGAGTCCGGCCAATTTCTGAGATGCCTTCAAAGCATCTCTCCTCTGGTCCTGATGCCAAGTACTTGATGTGTTTTGTACTGGTTCACAGATTCCCACACCATGCTTTCCTAATGAAAAATGTACTTTAGTTTAACAGTTGCCGGCTATGTGGGCCTCAGTAGATGCACTAGGGGAATATAGGATGTGATCTTTGGGTTTCCCCACTTGGTATGATTAATTGCAAGGTATATACACGTGTCAGAGTTTACATGTTACATGCCATGTTACATTTTATGTGTTTGTAATTTTTATTACATGTTTTCTCTTGGTTTTTCTTATAGAATTAGTCCAATGCATTACAGTGTTACATGAAAATCTGCTTCTACAACTTGGGGAGGAGGTTGAAAGTGAATCATCAGGTGACAGCTACTGATGATTAGTTGGATTATGTGTGCCAAAGAAGTTAGCAATCTATGACAGATGTGACATACAGAGATATGGCAGACCAAGAAGTACCTGAATGTAGACCCTGATTCAGATGAGGAAGAAACCAGTAATGTAAATAAATATCTCCTAGTCAAAATGCTACAAAATGGTCTGTATACCTGGACTATGCAATGTTGAAACTAGCTCAGAAAATGTTATTAAGTCCTTGGCAGGGGTGAGACCTACTGGATGGAATGTCAAGGTTGTGATTGAGGGTTGGGAGTTGTAAGGGACGATATGCTACAAGATGTTTTGAAATACACTAATAATGAAACATAAAGCATTCTATATGCATCAATAGTAATACTCAAAGATATATTTATTTTACCTGTCTGAACTAAAAGACAAAAGATGGCTTTATCATCTAACCATCAGAATCTAAAGGATTTATCGAAAAGAGGCAGATGTGGCCTTGAGATTTTCAGAACAATAATGACACTCAAGAGATTTGACTTCCTTCAAATTGCCTACATTTTGATGACAGAAAGACCCTCCAAGAAAGAAAAAAATCTGACAGTTTGGCTGCTATTCACTTGTTTGTTGAAAGCTCTGTTTCAAATCCAAATCCGTGATAGCTGATGAACAACTTGCATCCTTTTGGGGTTGTTGAAGTTTTCGGCAATATGGGTCAAGTAAACTTTCTAATACAGGGTAAAAATACTTGCCCTGCTAGATGCAAAGACATTTTATACCTTGAATTTAGAAATTTATCCTGGGACTCAGCCACCAGATCTTTCTTCGTGTAAGTAGTAGTAAACTGTATGACTTTGTGAACAGACCTGTCGCGCTTATTTCAAATAGCAACCCAAATGTCACAGACAGCTGTATTTTCATGCTCGTCTCGTGTGTGAGAGCTGCTGCCTCAGGCGTGACAATTGAAGTAAAGAGTATTTTTGTAGTAGAGTTTTATTTGTATTTTCATTGTAGTTCACATAGCAATTTATTTCTGCTGTTATTTTTTAGATGCAGTAAATAAACAGTGGATGTAGGAAAAGTTAATGTTTATTCTAAGCCCTCATCACATATTTAATATTTTATTTTATTGATATTTAATTTTCCTGCTAAGTAGACATTGTATAATATAATAGGAAATTCCTGGCAAAAGAGGAAGATGAAAGAGCTGCAAGTATGGCCTGCCCAATAGGAAAGGAAAGCTAAACATGCATGCTTTCAGTGTAAGGGAGACTTGTCTATGGAAGGTGCTGTTGTTATGTGTGAAAACTGCCTCAGATGTAAGGAAAAATTATTTCTGTGGCAAGTTGTGTTTATATTTTCATGGTACTTTGCACAGAAATTTTATTTTTCTGTCATTTTTTAGATCTTGTAAGCAGGTAAACAGTTGATGTTGAAAATATTGATGCTTATTCTACACACTCGTTACATATTAAAATTTTAGAGTTTTATTTCCTGTTAAGTATACATTGTTTAATATAATAGAACTCATAAAATTAAAATTAATAATTCATTGATAGAAACACTCCTAAAATATAAACAAGTTCATTATACACCCCCTTAATGTGTCTTTTCTAAAAATTTGCTGTGATCCCCTGGGGTGTTAATTGTTTTAGCAGTGATACTTTCCTTTGACCTAATCCTGCAGGTGCTTTGTTTCTGACAAAGCTTTGCCTTCTGCTCCTGATTCTCCAGGTAGATCAGGCTAAAAGCAAGAAGTACCCATGCCACATCTTGAATGTTGGGCTTCCCTGAAATTTCCTCGGCTACATCAGTTAGTCCATTGCCTTTAAGTTCAGTCTCACGCAGTCTAAGGACACAGACAAAATGAGAATAAATTTTCTGCAGGAGTTTAACACACATTGTCTACAGTCCAGCTGCCAATAGAGACCTTGTTCCCAAATTAAAACTTTTGAATCTGGCTTTCTGTCTGCGTTCTTATCTGCATTCTGGTCTTTTGAACTCTGACCAGAATCACCCATCAAGCTCTGCTAACAGCATTTGAAGGATTCTCTAGCTTCCTTCTCCAAACTTTTCCAAATTCATTTTACAAACAAGTCCTAAAGACTTCTGGGCCACATTGTCAGATACACCATTTCCAATACCACTTTCTATATTGGTCATTTTTCCATTGCTGGCACAAAATACTCAATACCCACAATTTAAAGGAAGATAATTTGGCTCATGGTTTTCAGAGGATTCAATCCACAATTGGTTAGCTCCATGGAAGAAACAGATTGGCAGAGGAAAGCCCATTGCAGCCAGGAAACAGAGAACAAAGGGAGGAAGTAGGGGCAAGAATACATCCCAGGCCAGGGATTTAGCTCAGTGGCGTAAGCACCTGCCTGGTAAGTGCAAGGTTATACGTTCAACCTCCAGTACCAAAAAAACCCAACCAACCAAACAAAAAAACCCCCACAAAAATCCCAACAACAGCAATAACAACAACAACAAAACACCCTCCCAGGTCGCACCCATTGACCCATTCTAGCCAGGCCCACCCCCTAACATCACATCCAGCTGCTGAACTCATCAGTAGATGAATCCACTGGTGAGTATCGTGTCCCAGTGATCCAGTCACTGTCAACACACATGAAGCTTTGGGGGACATTTTAGATCTAAGCCGTGTCATAAAATTTCATATTGTTATAACATTTGACGTCCTGCACTTGATGCATGAGATACCATTTTCCTCTGCCTTGCCCTACCTGGCCTGTCTGCTTCCTTCTTCTGTTGTAAGAACCTTGTTTGGAAAGCTTTCCCTATACACTGCCTGACTCCTCCTACTCATCCTTCAAGTCCTTGTCTAAGTGCCATTTTAAATGACAGATTGCTCCTATGCTTTTTAAAATACTGATTTATCTTTTCACAGTTAGAAAAGTAACATATGTGTTCATTATGGTGCATTTAAAGAATACACACACACACACACACACACACACAGAAACCAGAGGATAAGCATTCAGTATCCTGGGCACTTCTAATGCCAGTTTGTTTTTTGGTTCTTTGGTCCGTGTTTGGAAGCCTGAAAAACTATTTCCCACATATTTAAATTGCAGGATATGTCCAGATGGGGTTTTCCTTTGTTATGCTTGAAACACAGGCTCTCAATTCTACTGAATGTCTTTTCCAGTCCAGAAAATACAAGAGAGTTTATTTTTATACTTTGTGTGTGTGTATGTGTGTGTGTGTGCACACTTGTAATGTGGCTTTAGTTTGGTCAACCAACATGGAACTGTTCAAGGGTTGAATTTTAATTCTGTTTTCTGTCTTTTCTTGCCATTCTTTTTTTCTTCCCACTGTTTCCAATTGAATACTGGAATAACAACGTAAGTGTGTCTTCTGTATTATGCATACAGTTTTCTGTTTGGACCTTTCAATGTCATATTGCCACCAGTTATCTCTGGTAACACTTTTAACACTTTTTTCTTGGCCGTCTTTTTCTTATTAAACCAGCCTTTTGACCTCAACCTATTCTTCATGATTCTTGAGTCTTGATTGAAACTTTATACAGGGCCTGGCACAATAATGTGCTCAAATGTGTAACAATGAAAGTGAATACACAAATAAAAACCAGATCTTGGTTGGTATATCCTATAGGGACATTAAAATATTTTCTAGTAATGTGTTCTCTCTCTAAGAACAGCTGTATTGAGGTGTGATTTATATATCAAAAAACACCCATTGTAAGTGTATAACTCAATAACTTTATTAGATTTTAGAGAGCTGTGCAACTGTGACAACAGTCCAGGTTTAGAACACTTCAGCCAACTACACTGTTCTTTCATGCCTGTTTGCAGTTAAATCTTCGCTTCTGTGCCCTGTGTCATTGTCAAGTTGCCTTGGGTGGACATTTATGTAGTTGTATGCACATGTCACACATAAATACAAATATGCACACACATGTATATGTATATATGCTTTTATACTAGTTTATCTATAAACACATTTAAGCAAAATATATAGGCACTCGTATGAGTTTTGTTTTGAAGCTGGCTTCCTAGGAGTCCTCCCCTTCTTACTGTAGCCCAGTGGTAGGGGTCAGGTTCAAGGCTCAGTCACTACTTGTCAGACATCATGAGCCAGTGGACCTGTGTGGGCAGGAAGTATGCACAGTTTGAGCTGTGTTCACATCTGCACTGGCTTGCACTTTACACGGCGTCCTTTCCTGTGTCCTTTCGTGTCTCCTTTGTACCTGTGTGTGGGCTCAGGGTGGGCCACAACTTGTTGCCACCCCAACCCCCAGCCCATCATTTACACTGACAGTGCAAGCCGCCACAAATACAGCAAATCTTCTCCACCCCAGCACCAAGTCATGGGCCCTGGGGGTTTGCCTTGCCTCGCCCGGTGCCTGCAGGGGAGGTGGGGAGGTGGGGAGGTGGCGAGGTGGCGAGGTGGCGAGGTGGCAAGGTGGCAAGGTGGCAAGGTGGGCGTGTCCCTACCAGACTTTTTTTTACCCAGCTTCTACAGTTTTCAAGCATGAATCATTCTTAGGCTGTTAGAACCCATTGATTTCCAGAGTACCTAAGGGGTAGTTTGTCAGTTCCAACTTTGTAGTTGGCTGTAGGGAGAGGAAAGGCCTGCTGCTGGAAGTCCTGTCACTCAGGATGGATTTTTCTAGTTCAGTTGGTCATTGCCCAGGTGTACTTACTGTGTTAGGACGCTCCAGAAACACAGAACCTAGAGAGCATGTGTAGGATGACAGGGTGAGTGGGGGACGGTAAGGTAGTGGTTGATTTTAAGGAAATGGCTCATGGGATTGTGGACCTGACACGTCTGAAATCCATAGAGCAGTCAGGAAGCTGCTGTGATCTTGACTCGCAATTCCATAGTCAACAGACTGGAGAGGAGAGGGAGAAGCAATGATTTGAAGCCACTGGCTCACGTTGTGATGAGGGGCTGGCAGGTCTGGACCCCCCACAGCCATTGGGCAGACATGAGTTAACGTGGTGGTCTCAAATCCAAATTCTGCTGGTCAGTAACTCAGAAACTCGGGCATTGTTTCTGTGTTGTAGTCCAGAGATGAGTTCCTTCTTTTCCAGGAGACCTCAGTGTTTCTCTTAATTGTTGAATGAGATGAGATCCTCCTGTATTGTGTAGGAGAATCTTCCTGACTCCAAATCTGTGGATTTAAATACTCATCACATCTTTAAAAAAAAAAGTCTTTCACTGACCACTGAGTCAAACTGACAAACTTTTTGTTTCTGGAGGAGACCTTTTTGAGACAGGGTTTCGCTATGCAGTTCAGGCTGGCCTTGAGCTCACTTTGTAGCCCAGACTGGTCTCAAACTTCAAATGATTCTCCTGCCTCAGCCTCTCAAGTACTGGGATTACAGGAGTGCACCACCACGCCTGTCAGACACAGAAAATTAACCATACACTTGCAAGGATTCAGGGGAAAATAAAAATTCTAAGTGTAGTCTGGTTGCTGTCTGCTTCCCAGTGTTGTGGCCATAGTTTGGCCCCAGAATATGCAGCTTGGAGTGCCTGATGTGCCCAGATCTTGCCCGTCCTGTGAAGACTCAGTCACAGGCTGCGCAAGGCTCCCCTGGGGACTTCCTGTCACCTGCTTGTGCTGCCTGTGTGGTCCATGTGTGAGTTCCCATGACTTATGATACTCATTTCTGCTGTTTTCTTTTTAGGTTTTTTTCACCCAGTACTGACTGCTTAGTGAGCCCAGGGCCTTGCACATGCCAGGCAAGCTCACTAGCACTGAGCTATATCCTCAGCCCTTTAAATTTTTTTAAAATTTGGAGCAGGATCACTAAGTTACCCAGGCTGGTCTCAAACAGTCCAGCTTCTTGCCTCAGTTTCCTGAATAGCTGGGATTATGGGTATAAATCACACCCCCTTTCCCTCTTGGTTTCTATGGAGATGGGCTTACAAGGCCCTTTTCATTGTGTCCCCATCGTCCCTTCACCTATTCTGTTGAGGCATTGGTCACATTTCATTGTCCTTGTTTGCACATCTGTCTGTGCCAAAGACTTTGCTTCTGAGAACACTTCAGAGGTCATTCTCCTGCTGTCCTTTTAAAGTTTGGCCTCAGTCCAGCTTCACTATCTGGTCTGCGTTACCTAAATCAGATCATGTGATGAATACATTAAATCTCCGTTAGAGATCTGGAAGTTACATTTGGTGTTGTTTCTGTGATTTCTCTTTATAGGAGAATGTGGAAATAGTGACCATTAGGCAATGAAGTGAATGTAGGTGCAAGTGGTCAGTCCTGAGATGGCCTTCAAAGATGTGTGGGTGTATTAAAGATCTGCTTGACTCTGACAGGGGTAGTAGTGTTTATTTTTTCATTCCGTGCCAGACACAAAGCTTCAGATCTGTTGCATTAAGCAAAGCTGTTTCTCATTATAAACTCTGATTTATTTGTACTCATGTTTGTGTGTATTGTGTTCTAAGATCTCAGTGCATCCAAGACTGCTTCAGCTTCCTTCTAGCAGCAGTGCCATAGTGGTAACTGATGACTAATTTATAAACAATTATAATATGATAAAAGGGCCTTTTTCCTTTTTCTACTAGGTGTTGATCTTCTTGTTCAAGTAGAATCTCCATGGCCTGAACATTTTTTGGAAATCGTTTTGAGCACAGGATCTGTTTACTAACAAGAGAACCACACCAAGATGGTTGGGAAACTGAAGCAGAACTTGCTCTTGGCCTGTCTAGTGATTAGCTCTGTGACCGTGTTTTACCTGGGCCAGCATGCCATGGAGTGCCATCACCGCATAGAGGAACGGAGCCCACCAGTCAGGCTGGAGAATGTGAAGCCGACGGTACGAACCAACCTGGATCCCAAAGCCAACAAGACCTTTGCCTACCATAAAGATATGCCTTTAATATTTATCGGCGGTGTGCCTCGGAGTGGAACCACTCTCATGAGGGCCATGTTGGACGCACACCCGGACATCCGCTGCGGAGAGGAAACAAGGGTCATCCCTCGAATCCTGGCCCTGAAGCAGATGTGGTCACGATCCAGTAAAGAAAAGATCCGCTTGGATGAAGCTGGTGTCACTGACGAAGTGCTGGATTCTGCCATGCAAGCCTTCTTACTGGAAATCATTGTGAAGCATGGGGAGCCAGCCCCTTATTTATGTAACAAAGATCCCTTTGCCCTGAAATCCTTAACATACCTTGCCAGGTTGTTCCCCAATGCCAAGTTTCTCCTGATGGTCCGAGATGGCCGGGCATCAGTACATTCAATGATATCTCGCAAAGTTACTATAGCTGGGTTTGACCTGAACAGCTATCGGGACTGTTTGACCAAATGGAATCGTGCCATAGAGACTATGTATAACCAGTGTATGGAGGTTGGTTATAAAAAATGCATGTTGGTTCACTATGAACAGCTTGTGCTGCATCCCGAGAGGTGGATGAGAACACTCTTGAAGTTTCTCCATATTCCGTGGAACTACTCAGTACTGCACCATGAAGAGATGATTGGGAAGGCGGGGGGAGTGTCTCTGTCAAAGTGAGTAGCAGTTATTATTTCTACCCTATATCCAGCTAATATTATAAAGATTATAATTAATCTGATTAAAATGATTATAGTCAAAGATATGCATATATATGTGTGTATGTGCTTGGGTGTACATGTGCATGCAACTTATACATTCTAAATCTTTCTTATAAAAGATACAGCTTCATTAATGGGGATTTTTTGTAGTACTTTGTGTATTTTCCATTTATGTAATTCACTTGTTCATTTGTATTTTGTTCTTTACTTATTTATTTTGCAAGTATTACAGATTGATGCAGGAACTCATGCATGCTAGACAAACTCTCTAGCACTGAGTTATATCCCCAGTCCTGTTTTCTTGATGGATGCAAATTTAATTGGCAGACAGTGGAAAGCCTTTATCACTGGACATTAAGACTACCTTAATGTCTATCACTCAGTGACCTCTGATTTTTTTAATTTTAGGTACTTTTATTGGTAAGGATAGTTGTCTTTGTGTGGTTTAAGATTAATAGCAGAAAGTGCTTTGTCAAAAATTATGCACCACAGAACCGTGACCAGAACCTTCCAGTGCTTATTCTAGGATTCTCACTACTACATGAATTTTTTAAATTAAAGTTTTAAGATGCATAGTAAATATACAGGTGTTCAGCATACAGGCTGATGAATTTTCCCATCTGTGTTCTCTGTATAATTTCCATATCCAGCACTGAGGAGCCTTCTTTATGCTCCTTCTGTCAGCATCCTCCTCCATCCCAACGTAACCCCGATTCCAGACCTTTGACACCATGAATTAGCTTTGCTTCCACTGGAACTTTGCATAAATGCAGTCACCCTTTATATGACCTTCTGCCTGGCTTCTGTCATTCAGTCTGATGTGTGATACTGATCCATGTTGTTGTAAATTAGTGATACGGTGCCTTCATTTTTATTACTCTCTGATGTTTTAGTGCATAAACCACAATTTAACTGTTCCTCAATTTATAGCTATTCGAGTTATTTCCAAGTTTATGTCAATATGCATAAAGTTTCATATTACTTTTGGTGGATATAAGCATTCATTTCTTTTGGGTACACACTGATGAGTAAAGACTGGATCATATGCAGTGTATGCTCATACACGAAAACATGTTAAAAGATTCTTTCTTTCTTTCTTTCTTTCTTTCTTTCTTTCTTCCTTCCTTCCTTCCTTCCTTCCTTCCTTCCTTCCTTCCTTCCTTCCTCCCTTCCTCCCTCCCTCCCTTTCTCCCTCCCTCCCTCCCTTCTTTCTTTCTTTCTTTCTTTCTTTTTTTTCCTGTACTGGCAATTGAACCGAAGAATTTAACAGAGCTATTCCCCAGTCCTTTATTTATTTTTATTTTGAGACAGGATCTCACTAAGCTGCTAAGTTGCCCAGGCTGGGCTGGCATTTGCCTCTGATTCCCAGAGGGTGGGGATTATAGCTTTGCACCATGTGTGGCTTCTTTATAAGCTTTAACAGATATATTCTTGCAGTATTCCAAATATTGGTATCATTTATGGATAGCTGTACGATTCATGCATAGCTATACAATATAAGTAAATGTGTTCTAGTTGCCTTGTGTCTTTGCCAGCATTTAGTATAGTCAAACCTTTAAATTTTGACCTTTCTGAAAGTGTACAAATGTGTTTTGAAACTTAAAAATAAAATTGAAGGGGCTGGGGATTTAGCTCAGGGGCATGAGCGCCTGCCTTGCAAGCAGGCAGTTGTGAGTTCGATCCCTGGTACCGATAAAAACGAAAAAGACCAAAAAAAAAAAAATAAAATTGAAAGATGGCATTTGTATTCTTTCTGAAGCAAACTCTTACTAAGTTCCAAGCTAAAGCAAGAGTAGAGCTCCTTTGGGTGAGTCTAAAATTAGTCTAAAAGATCTAGTGCAAAGAAAGATGAAGTAAATTAGGAGAAAGTAATACAGGAAAGGGGGCCAGGGATTTAGGTCAGTAGCATAAGCACCTGCCTTGCAAGCATGTGGTCATGAGTTCAATACCCAGTACAAAAAAAAAAAAAAAAAAACAGGAAAGTTTTTTGAAATGGAGATATTGGGGAGCAATGGAGAAAATGATTAATAATCTATTAAATTTAGAATATCTTTTTTTTAAAATTTTATTTAAGGAGAAAAGAGAAAAAAACAGTGAAAGGGTACAAGTTATACAGATTTACAGAAAAAAAATGAACAGTAGGAAATCACTAGTTAATGGATTACATATTGCCATCTTAGAAATAATTGTTCAAGTCACAAAATTAAAGCTTGTAGAGTGGACATTCCAACAATGATACTGCAAACAGTTCTGTTCAATGATCCAATAAAACTCTGTGATATCATTTTCTATCTTATACACTTAAATATACATGCAGTTATATAGTTTAGAGCACTTTCTTTTCCTCTCTTTTGTACAATGACTATTACACATTTTGGGTTTCATTGCTCCCACGGTTCTTATTGCTTTTTTGGAAGAGAGTAAAACCAAATGTGACGTAACAGAACAGAATCGGTCAAGTCAAAAGGGTGGACATAATAGATAATGTAAAAACATAATACAAGGTGATCAACAGTGGTTACCATAATGCCTCCCGCTATCTCTAATAGAATTGCCTATATCATTAGTTATAATACAATTGAACAAAACAGTAAAGAACAAAACCGACAAAACCAAACCATTGGAGACATTGTACTTCTTCAAAAGTAGATAAAAGTCAACGAGAATGGGCGTTACAATGAATCTCATTATCTTCACAGCTGATGCCTAAACTTTCGAACCTGATACTATCCAGCAAAACAGAATAGGGGAACATCAGTCAAAAACAAGATGGTGAGAGTAATACAGGGTTTCAAATCGAGATAATAGAAAGTCAAAGTGGGTTACTACTATAATATATCCTGCTATTTTTTTCCCTTTAATTAAACGGATAAAAATAAAAAAATAAATAATGAAGTGGAGATTGGGATAAAAGAGGGCATAACAGCGAAACAGCGCAGATCAAAACATAACCATTTAAGCAGAATAGTGTTTCACCACCAGATAATTCCGACCCAAAAGTAGTTACCATATTGACTCTTTCCTTGAAGTCCTTGAGTACAACTTCGTATACTGTAGCATTAAGTATATCAAAACAATGTAAAACCATTTAAGAGAATGACAGCATTACAGAGTATTTAGAATCAATTAACAGAAAATGAACAATGGTTTCTGTATAATCTCCTTGTCTTTAAAAGGTTTTTGCTTATATTATCGTACATAATAAAATTCAATAAGATACAACCTATTTAGACCATTGGAGACAGAAGAACAAAAGCTAGATGAGACTTCAAAACAAGATGATACTAAATCAGTATTACCTATTAAGATGTCATTTTCTCCAAAATAGCTGTTCCTATCATCCAATCTTCTCTGTCTCATTTCTGTTGAGCTCTTTTTCTGTCAGTAGCTGTCAGTTTGTCTTCTTCATTTTGTTCTCTGCTCCATTCGTTGTGGCCTCCCCGCCACTATTTCTGGGTTCTTTGTATTTTTCTTTTTTTAGAATATCCTGCAATACTTTCTGTAGAGTTGAATTGGTGGTTGCAAATTCCCCCAGTTCCTCTTTATCCTGGAAGCACCTTGTTTTTCCATCAGTTTCCAGGGACAGTTGTGCAGGATATCTCAATCTTGGCTGGAGATTATTATCTTTCAAAGCTTGAATTATTTCCCCCCACGCTCTTCGTGATTTGATGGTTTGTGCAGAGAAATCTGCTGTAATTCTGATGGGTGTTCCCTTGTAAGTGGTCTGTTTCTTGTTTCTGACAGCTTTTAATATTCTGTTCTTGTATTGAATTTCTGGAATTTTTATTATTATATGCCTGGGTGTTGCCCTGTTTGGGTTGTAGGTAGCTGGGGTCCTGTATGCCTCATACATCTGAGTATCTTTACCTTTTGCTAAATTAGGAAAGTTCTCCTGGATTATTTCTGTGAATAGCTTTTGTAGTTCACTTGTTTGTGTCCCTACTTCTTCTTTTATGTTCTTAATCCTTAAGTTATGGCTCCTCTTATCATCTTCTTGTCTTTGTATTATTGCTGTTTGTTTCTTTGTTATTTTTAAGAAGTTTTTCATTTCATTCTCCCATATTACAAGTCTGCCCTCCAGTTCAGATAGTCTGTCCTTAGTTTCTTTCAAGCTGTTATGCCAGTCTTGGATAGACTTCTTAGTTTCTTGATAGTCCCTTTGAACCTGCTTCACGTACTCTATGCTTTCTCTCTTTTCTCCATCAAACAATTCTCCCCTCTTTTTCTGTTCTTCCATTCCACCATCTGTTTTTTCCTGGGTGGTGCTTAGCATTTCTCTAACTATTCTGCATACTTCTAGCTTCAGGTCATTGATAACTTCATTCCTGAATTGGTCTATGAGGCTCTCTATATGGCGCTTTATGTCTATTGGTGCGGTGTCCGCTATTGCCTGTTTCTCAGAATTGGGGGCCGAGGAGCCTTTCTTGTTGCTGCCTTTTCCCATATTCTCTGCTCCTTATATATGCAAGCTTACATAGGAGGCCCAGCTTCCCTCCCTGTCAGCCACAGCCTGATCGAATTGCGCTGGCTAGGTGTTCCCGCCCAATGCAGCGCACCAGGGAGTTACGGACTAGGCAGCCTACGCGGGAGTCGCCCCTCCGGGCCACCGTCAGGCACTGGGATCTGGGTTGGGCCAGCCTACCGAGTCCGCCAGCAGTGTCACGCAGGCCAGGCACTTTTCACCAATCCCGTCCGAGAGGGGAATGTGTGGCTGGAGTCGCCACTGCGCCCTGCTCCCGCAGGACTGCCCGAGCCCAGAAAGTCCTCCGCTGGAGTCAAACTGTGGTAGAGTGTCAGTTTCTCTCACTCACCTCACCACAAGTCAGTGCACGCCTCCCTGCCCGTCCTGTTTTTGACTCTGTTCGCAGACTCCCGTTCTCAGAGCTTCTGTGCGTCTTTCTCCTTGCTGAGCCGCTGTAGAGGCAGCGAGCCGCGGCGCGGTGGGAAACCCAAAT